TCGGGATTTCCTGCGAACAAGGTGTATAGCAGTGTGAGCGTCCGCCCCTGTTCACCTCCGTCCACTAGAATACGCACTAGCTAAGTGGTACTGACGTGATCATGGAGAAATTAGCCCCACATCTCATTTGGTAGGCGTACAGCTTATGGTTGTAACGGGATGCGGCATTGCCTCGGATAAGCGTCATTGCATCCTATATTGCGGATAGGCACGGGATGGGTCAATGACGATGTTTTCATTGAGGTTGGTGAATGCAAGAATCTCGGTGTTGATGTCAAAGGCCCCTGAGTCGTCAAAGTTGAGATCCAAGCTTTGCTGCATCTGCAGTGGAGTCATGAAACTCCTATGCGAGTGTTAGTCATGGGCAGGAATTTTCAATGGCAAGACTCACGAGTCCCAGCCCCACAATTGGGCCATTGTTGCATCGTCCAAAGCGACTGGCGTATGATGATTGCCATTGTTGGTTGGAACATGTTTTGATATTCCCAGATCCGCTAGGCGTATGGGTGTTTCTTCAGATACCATCTTTGTAAAACCAATCTGCTCCATGCCGTTGGCTAGCTCCACCAACTGCCAAATGTACTCGCTGTACTGCGGTAATCTGGTGTGGACATAGGCCAGAATGAATACGATGACTAAGCGCAAGATGCAGGTACTATCAAAAGCCGTCAAGCTAGAAAGCACGCCGTCCGTGGCCATTTGCTTCAAAATGGCTATACTCTTCTGTGCTGCGTCGATGCACGTTTTTCCCATGCGCTCAAACCAGATCTTTTTGCTTGACACCAGTGAGCCATATTTGATGACCAGATAGAGCAAGAAAGGCCGTGTCAAGAGGATAGTGGTACTCCAATACTGTAGATGCAGGACTGCAATTGCACGCCTGTACGTCGGAGGTGCGGGCACGTCGGTTTTCAGATGTGCTGGCACTTGGCGATGCCATTTCTGTAGCAGCAGGAGCGAGTTTGAGATTGTCGAAAAGGATATCGAGTTTGATGAACGCTCCATGTAAACGGCCTGTATGACTTCGCGCCTCAAGCGACAGAGAGAAACCGATGTGGCCATCCACGAAAGAGGTGTGTGCAGTCCTGGATACACGGCCTGCGAAAAGTCAGCATATGGACATTCAAAAATCACAGCAATGGCCGTACCCGCTCAGATGGCATAGGCGTCGTAACCTTGGTGAAGCGCTCATCTACAATGGTCGGACAGCCACCTCTTGACGAGATTTCTTGGTCGAGCTGAAACAAAGTCCACCAAATCCGACGGTGCTGTTCCCGATCAAGCGCGGTGGCTGACTCGTCGACCTGGTCGCGGTGCAAACCTAGGGAGAAGGCCATTTGCACACTAGCGCCCATGTACAGGTAGGCACTGACTCTCGAGCAAAGATTCTCCATTGCGATGGACTAGATAGTGATCAGCCACGTGTGACAGGGCGGATGGTTCTTAGGACGAATTTACCATGATGGCCATTGCGCGGATGCTGTCCAAGTCGGCTTCATCATACACAACTGGAATGAGCTGTTTGGCGAGGGCAAGGTAATCCTCTGATGTTTTGACATCCATGGCGGCGGGCCAGTCTGGCGGCGGGGAGTTGCCATTGTTGCCGACATAGTTTGCTGCTCCAATGGCGAAGATCGTGTACAGGGAGCACATCCATGAGCTGGACGAAGACTCAGCCGACTCGGAGTAGGTGCTGTCAACCCGGCGCAGCAGGGCTTCGACGGGGTAGAACCAGTATGTGCAATGGACATCTTCGAGGAAGCGAGAAATGTAAATGTCACATAGATGGCGACTGGGGAGATAGTAGCTCTCTTCAGCACCCGAGTCAGTAGAGGGCGATGCTACAGGAAGGGTGGGTGGATACGCCCCCACTTTTGGAGTGGGAATGATAGATGGGTCCTTCCGCTGCATACCCAAGGTTGCGACGACGGCATTGAAGGGAATCTCGCTATGGGCTCCTACGTAACGAAACTTGCCGCGCGAGTCCTTCATCATGCAGCCGAGAGATTCATGCAGCTCGTTGACGTCCTGCTCCTCGCCATTGTCAACACTGTCGCCATCTTCGGGCGAGGCCTGGTTGCTGGCAAAGAGGCCGTCAGTTTGCTGGACAGGGTCGGCGTGGAAGGAGCCGTCCTTGATAGCCTTGGAAATGGTGCGGAGAGATTGGAGATTGAGTTCACGGCCAGGGAAGAAGTGCTCGAGAATGCGCATGGCGCACTGGTACTCTTCTTCAGTGACATGGTAGTAGGGCCTCTTGCGCCTGGGCGTGGCAATGGTACAAACGGCGCCTGTGCGGGCGCAGTAGCGACATGGGCCGGGGACTATTGGGGAGGTGTCAGCAAAGGGTGAATGAGTGGAGGGGCGGGTGAGTAAGTAGTATAAGTCAGAGAGCAGTAGGAAGTCGTACTGGGATCGATGCACTGCGGATGACGGGCGGCGGTTAGCTGCTTGGCGGCGGATGGAGCGGGACTTTTTGTTTTTTTTGTATGTATGGCGTGTGCGTACCTTTGTCTTTCTGCTGCGACAGCGGTCACAGCTGCTGTGCACGCGATGGCCGTTGGGTGCTCTGCTTGAGACGGGCGCAGGCGCAGGCGCAGGCGCTGGAGGTTGCGGGGCGGCCAACTCGGCCATATCGTTCCGAAGACAGCGGGGGGCAGCCCGGCGGGACCAGACGACACTATTAATGGCTCTAGTAGCAACGCAATGGACTCATTCGGCACACCTGCAGCAGTCCGGGGAAAGGCAGCGGAGCATGTTGCCCTCTTCAGTGGAGGAGACGGGTGCAGAAGAGAAGGGTTCCAATTCACGCGTGCATGAGTTTGCGTGCTCGGCGCCTGGTTCGTTCTCGCCCGCAAAGCCACCCTGCAACACCTGCCGATTGGCTGCTTGCATCGCCGCCACCCCCTTCCACTACTTATACATACATACATACATACATGCTGCATTCACTCACCCACCCACACCACACACTACCCCATCTTGATCAGCACGCTCTTCGTCTCCAGGAAGTTGTTGAGCGAGTACAGAGGCTCTCCCTCCCGCCCCGACCCCGACGACTTGTATCCACCAAACGGCATGTCCGTGCCCGTCACTGTCTCACGCGTTAGCAACGACTCTATATCCCTGCAGGCCTTTTTCTTATCATCATCATCATCATCATCAAAAACTCACCTGGCGACGTGCAATTGACCCCCACCGTCCCAGCCTCCATCCCCTTTGCGAAGCGCAGTGCCCGGTCAATGTCCTTGGTGTATACCGACGCGTATAGCCCGAACCTGCATCGTCGTTAGCCACCCTCAGTTTCACCTAGCGTTGCCAAGAAGGCAGGTGGAGGGAACAAACTCTGTCGCGTTGGCCTTGGCCAGAGCCTCCTCCTCCGTGCTGAAGACGTTGATGCTGACCACCGGCCCAAAAATCTCCTCCTTCATGATCTGCGCGTCTTCGGGCGTGTTCTTGAAAATGGTCGGCTGGATGTAGTAGCCTTCGCGGTCAGACGGCGCTCCTCCTCCCGTAATCAGCTCTCCGCCAGACTGCTTTCCGCTTTCAAGGTATTTCAGCACTGTCTTGTGTTGCGCGCCATCTGCCTGCGGGCCGTGGTTGACGCCCTCCTGCGGCGCTGCTAGCGGATCTCCCATTTTAGTCTCCGTCTCAAAGTTGCGCTTGAAAAGCTCAATGTACTTGTCTGCCACCGATTTCTGCACGTAGATGCGCGAGTTGGCCATGCACACCTGCCCACTGTTCCACCGAATGCTGTGCGCCGTCTCCTTGACCGCCTTTTCCATGTCTGCATCTTCAAAGATGACCGCCGGCGACTTGCCCCCGAGCTCCAGGTAGACTTGCTTCAGATTAGACTTTGCCGCCGCTTCTTGGATGATCCTGCCAGTCCGGCTCGACCCAGTAAATGACAGAGCTCGGACGTCCATGTGGTGGCTCAATACGGAGCCACTGACATTTCCGAATCCAGTGATGATGTTGATGACGCCTGGCGGGAATCCAGCCTGCTTTGCCAGCACGGCGATTTTAGCAGACTGCCACCATTAGCTTTTGACATGAATATTCAATCCGTCACTTACAGTCAGGGGCGCCTTCTCGGAGCTCTTCAAAACGACTGTGTTTCCCACAATCAAAGCTGGAGCTAGCTTGCTCACTAAGAAGAATAAGGGCACGTTCCATGGAATGATAGCAGCAACCACTCCATAGGGCTGACGTAGTGTCATGTTGACGAACCCCGGAGTCTGAACACTGGTAGTTCCTGCTTCTCGTCAGCATCTCAACTTCGTCATGCACTGACATTCTCACCTTGCACATTGTATCCGCTCTCCGCATAGCGATCCCACTTTGCCGCTGCCGCATATCCATCAAAAAACTCTCCCACCGGGCGACCCATCGAACTTGCTTCCAACGCCGCTAGCTCATCGTTGTTCTCTCGAATCAGTGCTGCCAGCTTCTTGAAATACTGGCCCCTTTGGTCGGGAGAGAGTGCAGACCATGCAGGGAAAGCAGCTTTTGCTGCGGCTACAGCATTGTCCGTGTCCTGCTCAGATGCCTCGTGTACTGTGGTCTTCTTCAGCCAACATGCTACTTTCAGGGGGTCGATAGAACTAACCCTTGGCTACAAGCTTCAACGTTGCTGGATTGACAATGTCAAATGTTTTGCCATTTGACGACTCAACAAACTGTGAAAGGGTCAGCTCAAGTATTCAGTTCTACCAATTCCCCGTGACTGACTTCTCCATTGATGAACAGACGCGTCTCAATCTTCTCCGGAAGGCCCATGTTGGAATGTCAAACGTAATGACGCAGCTCTTCTGTTATTACGGCTGTACTTCGGTCGCTGCACCTCACAAAGACAAACAGTATTTAGCAAGTCTTCGTTGGTTTGATCCCACAGGAGATCGACTGGATATTGATAGGCTAATCTCTGATATTGCTGCAGCACGCCCCAATAAATATCAGCGACGGTGGTGGTTTCTGGGTCGAAAAACGCTAGCAAGCTGAAGCTGGGATTCCTTGTGGTGCATGACCCCACCTCAATCTTGCTTTGCCGTTGTGCTCCACAAACTCTTTGGGGAATAGTCCAATCGGCAGTGTATAACCGCTATTTTCGTGCACTTCGCAGTCATAACGCCGACTCTTTGACTGACCCTATTCGTGGAGATAGCACGGGATCTTCCTCATAGTCGTGGTGGTGACAGATCGGACAGCTGTGTTAGGTACTAATCGTGTACCATTCATGTTAAAAAGTAAAGGATGGCCGTGACATTGAATCACATCCACACCCTGGTTTCTGCAAAAGACTACCACGATAATGGCTAGCGAAATCGAGCAACTGAAGGCTATGGTGGAGAAGCTGCAATCGCAGGTGACGCGGCTGAGTGGTGCGGCTTAGTCAACCATCACTCGCGCTTCAAGACGCTGACCCCACCTCAGACCAAGAGGACATTCGCAAACTGCAGTACACATACGGCTACTATCTCGACAAATGTCTCTATAAAGAGGTAGGTAGCCATGTAATATGTGCAATACTTGGTTGTTCACGACAATAGGTTACCGATCTCTTCTCCGACGACCCGGACACCTGTGTTGAATTCCTTGGAGGCCGCTATGATGGCAAAGCGGGTGTCAGGCGCCTTTACGTTGGCCGCTTCGCCAGAATATTTGTAGCTGGACGAAACGGACCCATTCACGGCTTCTTACTCGATCACCCTCAGATGCAGGGCATAGTCGACGTCAATGCAGAAGGCACTCGCGCAAAGGGTCGCTTCCGCAGCATGATGTCCGCCGGCACACACGAAAGCATCAAGGACACGCATCCTCGCGGCCTGGTCCAATGGTGGGAAGGCGGTGTGTATGAGAACGAGTACATCAAAGAGGACGGCGTGTGGAAGATTTTCAGACTCAAGTATTTCGCCTCTTGGCATGCGCCCTTTGACAAAGGTTGGTCCTTCACCAAGCCGAATCACGTACCATTCCCGAAAACGACCTTCCCGGAAGATCCCCTCGGACCAGATGTTTTGTGCGAAAATCCAATGCTCTGGCCGGATACCCGCGTTGTGCCGTTTCACTACACTCATCCCGTCACGGGCGACCAGGTTGCAGATGACGATTTGAGAGCGCCGCATTATGGGAAAGACCCGTCGACAAGTACTCCGCCGTTGGTACTTAGCAAACCTCGGTCGGAAGTCAATGGGGCGCCGTAAATTGAAATAGGAAATATTTGGTGGGACCAATCCCGACAGTGATAGCGTCTTCTCGACTACGCAATAAATCAAGCATTTTTACTATTATCGCATTTCTATGACAATGTCCTAATTTATACCTATGCAAACTGAACTAGTAAAAACTATGGAGATATTATCTTGAGCCTCTTTCTACATATCTGCGTAAATCTGAATGCTATAATTCTCTAACATGCAAACAAGATACCATACACAGTACCGAGAAGTCAAGTAGTAATTATTTGAAGACAACATATGTGGGGCACGCAGTTCGGTACTTCCTCTGCGCCGGATAAAGGATGTGTTATACAGTCTCGATTCAGGGTTAGTCATCGACTCTGTTCGCCCTGCACCTACATAGTAGGCCTCTTAGAAGTCAAGTACCGAATGCCACGCTATCCCTAAGCAGGAAGTGGGATTTTGCTTGGCAAATGCACCATTACTACATCGGGACCCATACAACCGATCATTTTCAGCCGATGAGCTCGGTACTATTGAAAGTTGGGTATCAATATCACGTATTCGAGACTATGGATGTATTGAATCATCGCAATCAAGAGAACGAAGACGCTAGTACCCCTACAAAGCAAATGTACTCCTCGCGTACGTCATGCCGCTGCTGATATCAACCGGCCGGCCTTATCACTCCGACCTTCACCATTCCAGCCGAGACCCGTACACAGTAAGCTACCCCGCAAGTAAGATACCCCACATCCGCTCCTTCCAGTGTCCCGAAGCCATGCAAGGAATCGGGTTACATTGGGATGAACGGCAATCAAAATGGTCTTTTCAGATTTGGATATCAGGTGGGAGGGTGCTGGCGAGTATCTGAATGGAACAAGGTGAATAGTTCATTATGGCGCACATTTTCTCCCTCGCAAGTCCAGTACCTGCGGCTTATCAGGAAGGCAAGAAACATGGTGATCAAGTCAAATTTCCAGATACTCCATTTTTCAAGGGCTTCAACAAGCCATCACGGCTAGAGGCAGATATTTTTGAGCTAGAAACTACTGGAACCGTAAGTAGAGCTGTAATATACGTACAGAGTATCGGACTTAGCAATTGTAGATCCCCAAGGATATCAATGGCACTTTCTTTCGCATACAGCCGGATCACCGCTTTCCACCTCTTTTTGAAGAAGATATACACTTCAACGGTGATGGCTCCGTATCTGCCTTTCGGTTCGAAAATGGTCATGTCGACTTTCGACAGAGATACGTACATACGGATCGTTACAAAGCAGAAACAAAAGCCCGGCGCGCATTGCTCGGTCGGTACAGGAACCCCTACACCGACAACGAAATGGTAAAGGGTATCATACGAACTGCCTCAAATACCAACGTAATCTTCTGGCGGGGTGTTCTTCTCGCAATGAAGGAAGATGGCCCACCATTCGCCATGGATCCAGTCACCCTCGAAACAATCGGTCGCTACGACTTTGACGGCCAAGTACAATCTCCCACTTTTACCGCACACCCCAAGTTCGATCCAGACACTGGAGAAATGGTCTGCTACGGCTACCAAGCCGGAGGCAACGGATACGACGCTAGCTGCGACATCGTCGTGTACAACATCGACAAAGACGGGAAAAAGACAGAAGAGTGCTGGTACAAAGCACCCTTTTCCGGCATGATCCATGATTGCGCCATCACAAAAAACTACCTCGTCCTCCCCTTGACCCCCATAAAAGTCAACGAAGACCGCCTCAAAAAAGGCGGAAACCACTTCGCCTGGGACCCCGACGAAGACCAATGGTACGGTATCGTCCCCCGCCGAAACGCCAAACCAGAAGACATCATCTGGCTCCGCGCCGACAACGGTACTTACACCCCCTTCCCCCTCCCTCTCCATTCCCATGCTAAAAACCCCCCTAGGCTTCCACGGCCACATAGCCGGCTCCTACGAAGACGCCTCCGGCAAAATCGTAGTCGACCTAACCATAGCCTCCGACAACGTCTTCTTCTTCTTCCCACCCGACCCTCCTCCCCCTTCCACCCCTTCCACCCTCCAACAACGGAACAAACTCGTCTCAGACACCTACCGCTGGATCTTCGACCCTAACACCCCAACCCACACGCGCGTCCAGCCGCATAAGATGTTTGGTATTAACGGCGAGTTCTCGCGTATAGATGATAGAGTGCTGACGAAGCCGTATAATCACTTTTGGCAGTGTAACATTGATCCAGCTAGGCCGTATGATGGTGCCAAGTGTGGACCGCCGGCGGGAGGGTTGTTTAATGTGCTCGGGCATTATGAGTGGGATACTGGACGTAAGGATGTGTTTTGGGCGGGTCCGACGTGTACATTCCAGGAACCGGTGTTTGTGCCTCGTCGCCCTTCGTCTTCTTCCTCGGAAGGGGAGTTTGAAGAAGGAAATGGATACATCATTGCGCTGTTAAATCATCTGGATGTGCTGAGAAACGATGTTATGATTTTCGATGCGAGGAATTTAGCACAGGGACCGTTGGCTGTGGTGCATTTGCCGGTTAAGTTGAGGTTGGGGTTGCATGGGAATTTTGTGGAGCAGAGGGAGATTGATGCATGGGTTGGGAAGAGGGAGCGGGGGGAGGTGGGGGCTGTGCGGCCGGCGAGGGGGTTGTTGCCGTGGCAGAAGAAGTTGAAGGAGACGGAGGGGTTGGGGAGCTTGGTGGATCTGCCTGGAGGGGAGGGGGTGAATGGCGTGGACGGAGGGAGTTGAAACGTTGGGGAGAGGGGAGATGGTGGCTTCTTAGAGCCGTATAGGTTACGAGACCAATGGCTACAGCTACATTTGCAATAAAGTATAGCGTTATCTCTTTCCGTCTACAAGTGTGAAGGCAACTATGTTTGTTCTCTGTATTGGAGAGAATGTTTTTAGGCAACCTGCGTTGTGAGTCACGCCACCTCAAAATAGATACAACATACAAGTATATATATATAAACGACAGTATCCACCAAAACGATAGAGAAATTGAACTCATCAATTCTCCTCAAAACATTCATATCAACCCACCAAAGTCACACCAAACACACACCCCATTCCCATCTTGAAAACTCGCACGTGGGGCACTGAATCCTTCCCGTCGTCTCCACCCGCATTCAGTTATATCAACCTCATTTCCGCCCCCTCCCCAAACCCTCCACCACATAAACCCACAACAAAAAAGAAAAAAAAGAACCTCCAACCATGTCCAAACTCATCGTCATAATCGGCATAACGGGCAACCAAGGCTCCTCCGTCGCCCACACCTTCCTCTCCACACCCACCTGGCGCATCCGCGGCCTAACCCGCAACCCTTCCTCCCCAACCTCCCAACACCTCTCCTCCCTCGGCATCGAAATGGTGCAAGCAGACCTGCACGACCCCTCCTCCCTCACCACCGCTTTCCAGGGTGCAAACCTAATCTTCAGCGTCACAGACTTCTGGACCCCGTTTTTCACGCCTTCAAACGCTGCTCGCGCCGCGGAGATCGGGGTGCCTATTGGAAAATATGCGTATGAGCTTGAAGCTGAACAGGGCAGGAATATTGTGGATGCGGTGGCGAAGGTTGTCGCGGGGTTGGATGCGGTGGGGTTTGTGGCGAGTACGTTGTGTAACGCCCGCGAGAGCAGCGGGGGTAAGTATAGTGAGTTGTGGCATTTTGATAGCAAGGCAGATGTTTTTCCAGCGTATGTAAAGGAAAATTATCCGGAGTTGGCGGAGAAGACGAGTTATCTGCATACGGGGTATTTTTATACGAGTTGGAGGTATATGCCTAATCGGTGGTTTGCAAAGGTATGTTGTCACGTGGGAAGGGGTGGTGGTGAAAGAATTGCTGATGAAAAGATACGCATAGTTGCCTGATGGCTCGGTTCAGATGCAGTCTCCGACTTCCCCAGACGTGCTGATTCCACATCTTAACCCACGGACAGATGTTGGCCCTTTTGTACAAGCCATGTTGAAGCTGCCTCCAGGGTCGACGGTCATGGCTGCGAGCGAGTGGTGCACATGGCCGGATTGGATCAAGACTTGGGGCGAAGTAACTGGGGTCAAGAATAGTTACAAGCAAGTTAGCGTCGAGGATTTCGACAAGGAAATTCCAGGAGGTGCAGGTAAGGAGATTGGAGAGATGTTTGAATTTTCGAGTACTTGGGGGTACAATGCGAATCAAAAGGATACGTTGATGACGTGGGATCTGGAAAAGGTGAGAATGAAACGCTCTGTTGCGTGGTTTGGAGTTGTCGGCTAACGATTGATTGGTTTTTAGATGGGCGTACACGTCCCGACAATGAGCTTAAAGGAATACTGTAAAAAGGAAGATTGGGTTGCAGCGGGCATACTAGCACCCTAATTATGAACTTCAAAGGTCAATTCTTGCATGGCGAACCTGGCATAAGTTTCAGTAGTCATTTGAAATCGAATTAGCAAAGCAGTCAAACCTCAGGAATCATCATTCATTCAAGTCACACATGTCTAATCTAGTACGATACCACACACAGCCCCTAAGCATGTCATTATACAAACACAAGATTCGTACCTCCATTAAGCCGATCCTCCACTCTACGACCCAAAATCCATCTTGAGCGCAATCTTGGGCATTCCATCATCCTCCCTATTAACTTCCTGTCTCCTAGGCCCTTGCCCGCTCTTCAACACCCCTTCCATAAAGCTTCTTTGCTCAGGCGTCAGTCCAGTCACCACAGTCCTGAACGCCTGTTGATCGGCACCAGCAATCTCAAGTAACCTTGCCGCTGTTTCCTGGGTTGCCTTTGGTTCATTCTGTGCGCGTGATAGCAAGGCAGGAATGATTATTTTGCACGCAACTTGTCGTTGTGCTGGCTCTGGAAGAGTTGAGATGAAGCTGACAAGTGTCTGGGCAAGGGTTGTGCGGGACTCCTCGAGGCCTTCTACCTCTGAAGGTATTGCAAGGAAAGAGAGGGTAGGCGGAAGAAGAAGCTTCGCAAGACTTGTCTCAAAAGCGCCCTTCTTGGGCAAGAGGAGGAGGGAGCGGCAGCATCCAGCAGCTACCTTGCTGGTGGTGACCGTATTAAGACAATCGAAAAGATCATCAGCAAATCGTTGGATGAGAGGGTCGTTCGGTGTGAGTGCAGATGAAGCAGAGCTCAACAAGATAGTAGCCGTGAGAATAGTGTTCTTCTCGCACGCAAGAGCAGCGTCGAATTCCCGCTTTTGGGCATGTCTGAGAATAGCAAGGAATCGCGCCAGCGTCGCACGCAATTGCTTGCCAGTGTCGTCTGTGGCTTCAGCATCTGGCGCAAGACTGCTGATGAAGCGCTTGAAGATTGGCAACGCCTGCGGGATGACTGTTGCTTGGCATTCGCCAGTGCCGACTATGGATGCAAAGATGTGAAGAATGCAAGCATGAAGGTCGGCTTTGATAATGGATGGGAAGACTTGTGCAGCATCCACGAGAGCAGACAATGCCGTTGTGAGCAGAGCAACAGCTTCTTCGTTCATTTCGTGGCGAGCTAAGGATGCGAATTAGCGAACATTCTTCTCAAACAACAAGAGAAACCCTACCTTTAGATTTGCTGTCTTCCAACCCGGGTATTAGACCTGATAGTACTAGTACCATGATCTTGGTCAACTCAAACAACTGGTCAATGTCTTCTGAGAGATGTTCGTCTGCGGATGTGGTTCTATGCAAAGTTAGTGAATTTAGAGCGGTCCGGCTTGTATCCCTTACCCTTGATCCCTCCTTGCAGATGGATGGCCAATGCAAAGGTTTCGTGTGATTTGAACAATGACTGTCTGTATGGTCAGGCCTTCGGTGAGCACCAACCGATCAAGCATGTCCATCGTCTCCGAGAAGACAACTTCTTGGTATATGGCATGTCCGGACACCGAAGGTCGCAGGATCTTTTTCAAAGCCTGAAGTATTTCCAAAATCTGCTCTTTGGATGCCTGGAGATCACCTGGACGGCCTGCAAGGGCCTCAAATGCAAGACCGAACAGCACAAAGAAGAAGGCAACAGGCTCGTCGCGATAGTTGATATGGTCAGCCCTTGGGTTCGGATCAGACTCGGACAGTTCGGTCTTTCCATCAAGTGCGTCAAACACGAACTCGCTATCCTCTTCGATGAGACTAGCAATTGCATCGACAAGGTTGAGCCAGGTGTCCTGATAAAACTTTAACAGGGTTTCACGGTTAAGCGCAGCATAGATGGTATCAAGGCTACCAGAAAGCGACGCAGAACCCATAGAGGAGGTAATGTCGGGTTCGAATCTGAGGCGAGCGTATTCCCGCAGCGATGCAAGCCAAAGAGGTGTCAACTTAGCAATGTGCGGCTTCAGCACGTCTTTAAGGTAAGTCTGCTCGGCACTAGCAATTTGCAACTCTGCCCAGGCCGAGAAAACTGCCATCTTGACCATGACCTGAGCATTTGAGCTTAAACCTTTGAGATCGCCTATTGAGGCAGTCTCAGATTCGCCTAAGCCGTGTTAGTCAAGTATGGGGATGAAGGAAGGGCAGAAGACATACTGGAGAAGTTTTCGAGTGCTGAGACGAGCAACTTGAGAATACGGCCCATTCGATCCACATCTGTTACGATACCAGTCGCAATAAATGTAGCACATACGTTTACAGCTTCAGCTGCAAGTTCTGGTGATGAGTCTGCTGCAAAAGCTGGCGTGAGTGCTGAACCGATCTGGGCTTGGTATTGTTCAAGTAGGGTAACTTCAGCAAAATCTGGATCAGGCGTTTTGCCGAATAGCTATAAAATGAGTTAGTTGACGTTCCACACGCCCAATATATGTGCATACCTTGAGGACTTGGTCAATGATCTTGAGACCGCGTATCCGCAGCTGAACAACGCCCGCAGTAGATGCAGAGAAGGCAATGCGCACGACATCGGCTACCCTTTGCTGTAATGCCATCACACAAGGCGCTTCTTCTCGGAAAGCAGCTTCCTTACTGACCATTGCAACAAGCTCACTCAAACAGTCCATACCAAATGTCCGGACTTGCCACTTGAGCAGCTCTTGGCTCACTTGTACGCCATCTCCTGACTCAGCACCTGGCGCATTTGACGCAGATGCAAAACCTGCAACTTCCTCGTCCTGGATCTCTGCTGCGCCCGCTTTCGGCTTCTGCTCAATCTTGTCCTGAGTTTCCACCTTTTTCGTCTTTGTCAGGACGGAGTGGCATCGCTGCACCCATGTTGCTGTGTCTGACAGGCCGGTCTGATGTAGCCAATTGCGGATAATATTTCGCACAACTTCATGTTCTGGATCACGGTCAAGTACGTGCCACAGCTGATCCTCTAAACCCGGCTCAGCCACACGTATAATCTCCTCTGTATTACGCCTCATGATATTGTGCAAGCCGTCGATAGCCATATCACGGATCTGTGTTGAGCTACTTTCTACAGATCGCTGTAGATTCTTGACATAGGCCGAGAAGTCCATGTAGCCTGGCGCATAGAGCGAGATATGTTCTTGACAACGCAGACTCTCGATGACAATAAGTTCATCGGCATCGCTCTGAAATAGCCCCACAAGGGTCATGATCAGATCTCTTGATTTTGCGACATCCTGTAGATCTGGCCCCAGTACATTAATATTACTGTCAACACATCGTGCAATAACAGCAGGAGTCGGTATATCGATCTCAATGTTTGAGTATGGAAGAGATGCCGATTCTTCGTTGTGTGTGTCTGCAGCGTACCAATGCGCCAGCATGCCGAGCGTGCTTGTAACATAGCTTGAAAACGATAGGC